AACTGACGTCAACATGAGTGCCTGGAGTGCTTGTCTTTTTCCTTTAGTGCATCTTGATGCCCTCACTTCCACAAGTAAATGCTGCACATGTACCTGGTCGTCCACGTGATGTAAAAGAAAACGGGTCTCATCAGACCACACAAGCTTCTCCATGGTCCAGATTCAATGCTAGCTTCCCCACTATAGGTACTTCATTGCTCTCACACATCAATAAGCCTTGGGTGCCCAACACCTTGTCACCGGTTTGGTCCTTCTTGGACTGCTGTTGTCAAGTACTCACCACTGAGAGTACACCAAAAGCCTTGCCGTTTCAGAGATACTCCAACCCAGTTGTCTAGCCATAATGATTTAGTCTTTCTTAAAATCATTCAGGTCTTTACACCTGCCCATTTCCCTGCATCCAACATGTTGACTATGGGAACCTGTTAACTTACTAATATATTGCCAGATCTTGACAATTGCTGTTATGACATAATCAATATTATTAGCTTCATCAGTGAGGAATCATAATATTTGTCTCAACAGCATATATCCATTTCTAGAAAAGTTGATACATTTTGTAAAATGCACTAAAAACACAAATCTGTGATTTGTTAATTCTCTTGAACCTTTATTTAAACTAACAAAAGTACAAAGAAGATATTTTCATTGTTTCCACTGACCAAAAAATTTAGAATTTGAAGCTTACAGCACATTCAAAAAGAGTTAGGACAGAAGCATGTTTACCACTGAGTTAGATCACCTTTTTTCTTAATTACACTTTTTTAATCATTTGGGCAGGGTATGATACTATTTGTTACAGTTTTGCAAGTATCATTTTTGCTCATTCTTTCTTGATACAAGACTCGACGGTCCGCGGTCATCATTTTCTGATTCTCCTCTTCATGATGCACTCTACATTTTCAAAAGGAGACAGATCTCTACTGCAGGCAGGCCAGTCAAGCACACACCCTCTGTGTCTATAAAACCCTGCCATTGTAGTACATACAGAATGAGGCCTGGCATTGTCTTGCTGAAATAACCATGGACTTCCCCGGAAAAAATGACATCCTGATGTCTCCCTACAATCCCAATATATGCCTTCAATGGTACGTTCACACAAATGCAAGTCACCCATGCCGTGGACACTGATTCACTCCCATACCATGACAGATGCTTGCACCTTTAGCTGATAAAAGTCTGGATGGTCTCCTTCATCTTTGGCATGGAGAACTTGATGCACATTTCCCCAAAAACAAGTTGATACATGGACTTATCTGACCACAGCACACATTTTCACTGTCTTTCCGATCGTCTGAGATGACTTGAGACCCAGAGAATTCAACAGCATTTCTGCATAGAATTGTTGTATGTCTTTCTTTGTGTAACAGAATTTCAAGCTAAATTTCTGGATGCAGCAGCAAACTGTGTTAAGTGACAATGGTTTTCTGAAACATACTAAATACAGCCAATCATGAGACCCTTGCCTATTACCAATTCACCTGCTTGTTGTGGAATCTTTCAAAAAAACTTGAATATTCTATAAAATTTTTCACTTTTATTTTGCCCCTGTCCCAACTTTTTATGAGATTGTTGGAGGCATTCAGAACTTGTTTTCATTTACAAATCAAGTTGGTCAGCCAAAATATTAAAAATCATTTTCATTGTACTTCTGTCAAAGTTCAAGACAATTAACAAATTGTAGATTCTTGTTTTAATGCAATAAAAGTACCACATTTTACAAAATGTGATAAAATGGCCCAGATGTTTGTTTCCAGAAATAGGGTTTTAATTTTCAAATATTCTAGTGCACATTTTGAACATTTGAATATTCTATAACACTGAGAAAAGACTAAAAAAAACTACAAGGTAATGAAAAAATGCCTGTTCTTTATAAAAATGTCATAGTTGTATTAAAATGATGATCCTCCCCATCTGGCAACCCTGATCTGGCTGTGGACAGTAGTGAGCAGTCATTGAGAGCAGAAACAACATCTTTTTAACCATCATCATAAATTTAAAATTTTTTGGTTGGTGAACTTGGTGAATCCTAGAAAAACTATGGTTAGCTAGAAGCTTTAGGTTCCCTCCAATGGCCTGCATCCTGGTTCCCAGCTATTTTCATGTATTGTAAAATAGAATAACCTATAACCAGAGCTCTTTCATTAGGCATCCCAAAGGATGTCTCACTGAGTGGGGCAAACCTGTTCAACATGTGAATGCGAAAGAAGTGGTGCTTGCAGGGGAAGCCTTAGAGTTATCTTTGGCTTTGCAACTATGCTGCCGAGATGCCACTCATTTGCCCCCACAGCGAGGGTTCTGCTGCCATAGTCAAGTGCGTGCTAACCAAACTGAATCTGATGCAACACCCTTGTAATATTGGTTTGTCCTCATGGGAATAATGAGCAAAACTGATGGTTTAAACCTGTGCAAGAAACCAAAGTTCAGTACGCAATTCCTTTACTCTCATATTAACATTTCAACTAATCTATGTACTACAACAGCATAACAGAATTTCTGAAATAAAGTTATGGCTTTTGATTTTGGTGTACCACCCCAAGATTTTCAGTGGGGCAACACTGCAGTGAGCTCTGCTTAGTAGCTCTACTTACTTCTAGTTTGTGGATGCACACCTCTGACTGCACAATCTTCTCTCCAAGCAAGAAACTGATTTGCATTTTCACAAACAGTAATGCTACTGTCACTAGTGACTTAGAGAGAGAGACACAGCTAAGCATACTGCACTCAGAGCAAAGCAAGAGCATGCGGTCTGCCATACTGACACTTATGTTACTTCGTCAGCTGAAGAAACCATTGACTGTTTTTTTTTGTTTTGTTTTGTAATGTGTTTTGGCCTTTTAATTGGTTAATATTATAATGTAAAGGACCCTAATAGTTTAACAGGTAACCAATGGCTGATTCTAAATGCATTTAATGGTTTCCTATTTGGATCTAAAGGTGTTCTGCAGGAAACTAGGGGCCTCAGTTGAAAACCATTAAGCAATTGGCAACCAAACCCTTAGGATTAAAATCTTCTAAACCTTCCTAATGGTCCTTTTTCAGCAGGGTGGGTAGTTATAAGAAGCCATAAAAGATAACTTGCATGCCTTCTTTCCTGAGCACAATTTGGTGACATTCCGCATAAGACGACCGAAGACGAGGCTAAGGGAATTCACAACCCTACTGGAAAAAGAAACTTAGAACCATTAGGATTAAATCCTCATGGTTTCACTTTCTAATGGGAATTTGCTTAATGGTTACCATTAGAGACCACTAGTTTTCTATAAGACACTTTTAGATTCCATTAGGAAACTACCTAATTTATCTGGAATCAGTCCTAGAACACTTGTTAAACCATTAGAGTCCTTTACACTGTGATATCAAGCCATCAGGAAAACACACAATAATATTAGTGACTACTGGACACCACCAGGAACCAGCAGAAACTTCTGATGGTTTCTATGATTTTTTTTTCAGCAGAGAACACAGACACATCGTAGCGTACACAGATAGAGAAGCTAAGCAAGTGTACTCAGATAATCAATGTAGTGTCAGGAATTTGAGTACATTTTTCTGCACAAATGGGCCTCAAATGCATGTTTGAACCTGAATATACACATGAAGAAATGCATCAGTTGGATGCCAGACTAACCAATGACTCGCCAGACCAACCTTTTAACACAAAGATGAAGTTAGCTTCTTATTAAAAATGTCAGTTTTACCTTAAATGGTGCAGCAGTTACAATGTGCCTGAAATGTCAGAATATAACTGCTGCATCATTGCAGATGTAACAGAAAATTCAACTTGTTGCCGAACAGGAGGCCAACTTCAGCCAACAATGAGCACTGTTGTAAGTAAACAGCGCTTACCTCAGATTCACTTCTTTGCAGTGTCATCCCTAAAATGTACTAGGTACTGATGTAGATTTTAGAATATCACCACACCTCACCACACACAGAAATATTGCACAGTAAGCTTTCTGAACATCTCTCTTGCTAGTTTGTGGTTTGGTGTCAAAAGTTACAGTTTGCATGTGTCTGCATTAGTAGGTAATCAGTGGTAACATACCAGACTAGCCACAGATGTCTTTGTTCTGTTTTTGCAAAATGGAACGCAACACCTAATTTTCATAGGTCTACTGGTGTTTGCAACTTCTAACTCTCTTACAGTAAGAAAGTCTTAGAAAAAACTGGACACCAAAAAATGTCTTCACTGATCAACTGCATTTGAGGTAAGCAGATAATCTTGTAAATTTGATTTTTGCTGAGCTATTCCTTGAAGTTTGACAGCAAAAAAAAATTGACAGAAAAAGGGGTGTAGAATAGTGACATCTACTGGTTAGAATAGGGAATAAAGTGGAGTTCAGAATGTCTGGCACTGGCTCTTTTCCTTCCTCTTTGTCCTTGGTCAAGAACATGAACAAATATTTATATTGAATGATAGTGGAAATAAATATTTGAAATAGCAAACAGATTATGATTGGTTGCCCATGAATCACATTATTATTTACTGTTAAGGAAAACTTTATACAACTGTCAGTGGTATTCTATTTTTCTTTTCATTCTATGACTTTTCCAGGATTTTAGAGACTGTATGAACCATGAGTTAAATCTTTAAGTTTAAAGTTAACTCACTAACTAACAGTGTTGTTAAACACTAGTGTAAATCACACATTCTAAGTATGCTCTAGTCTGTATAACAGTTTACCAACCAGCAAATATAAAAACTGCCTGCTGTATATTAATTTCCACTGTTTCATCTGAGTGTTTCTGTGTGATGTATCAGAACACTGTGCTAATCACATAGTAGGAAGCAATGTGTTTCTAGTGAACTATATGCTATGCATTTTTGCTTTTCACTACCATGTCACTGCCTATGCCGACAACAACAGAGTAACTTTATTTTTATTCATTTATTCAGGTTCAATGGAAAATTGTAATATTCACAACACTTATTAGCATATTTTTGTTGTTGTTTCAAGGTCATTAGAAAAGTCAAATGGAAGATAAGGGGCTCTCACCTTCACAAGTACGCTGGATTCATGGGTGACACCCTTGTCTGTCTTGGCAACCTCTTCAGCATCTGCGGTGGACATTTCTGCAACACAAATGCAAAACTATGAGAAGCAAAATGAAAGAATGTTCTGGTAACCTCTCTGGCCTTGGACACAGTTCTGTTGTTCTGTTCCTCTTTCGCCTTTGCCTCTGCATCATGGGCTTCTTATCAAAGCCTAGCCTTCCAGATTTAGATACCACTTGAGTGTTATCGTGGCAGTGCCATTGCTGTGAATCATGAGATTGATAGTGTTGTCACAAATAGAATGGAATGTTCCAGTTTAAACCTGTCCACATGCAGGGATGGGGGAGTAGCTAAGTAGCGCGCTACTTTTTGTAGTTAGCTACAAAATTTTGTAGCTAATGGCTGTAGCCGCTACAGTTTTATGAAATGTAGCTAACAGCTGTAGCACCTACAAATTTTTCTGTAGCTATAGCGCAAAATATGAACCATAGAACGTGGCCGTTCACTGGGCTGGTGGCGACTGTGCAAACCTGACCGAGTCACGGACAGTTCGAGCAAACGGGCACGCACTCAGGGGTCGGCAACCGAAATGTTAAGAAGAGCCATTTTGTCCTTTCAACAAAAATCAAACCACCTTGGGAGCCACAACATATGTCTGTTTTACCATCTTGGCTGTATGTCTCAGTATGTGCTAATGTGCTAATACAGGCTAAAAATTAAATAAACCAAAAACGCAGACTTACTTTGCTCTGCTTTAACCTTTAGCTCAGCTATAGCCACTTTTCTCGCATCTTGGGAAGTTTCTCCGCGAATTTCTTGTAAAATGTCTCTCAATGTTCGACTTTTTACGAAGCTGAAGTCGCTTCTTACTCTCCAGATTCTCGTTCAAATTGCCCTGTTCCACCTTAAATGGTGCGACGCCAGATGGTACAGCTGCGCCATTTAAGGTGAAACGGCAGAATTCGAATGAGAAGCAACTTCAGCTTTGCGAGTTGTTGCAGATTAAACGTATCAGGAAACCAGCTCAGTGCTTATAAATGCAAATAAGTCCATTCGTCTCCAAATTATCGATGTAGGAAAAACCTGGAATGATTGACTTTGCCTTTAGTCGAAATTTTTGTTGGATATCACACCTTTGGTTGTGTAAGTTTGATTGTTGGTTACACTTAAACGTACTTGGTGATCTTTTTGTATATTCGCAGCTTTTCAATTGTATGTTTCCTTCTGGCACATGATTAAATGCAGTGTCTTTTTCACACTGGGCTTGTTTGGTGTGTCAGGTGGAGATTCACAAACATTCTTACAATCGCACTTTGAAAGTAGCTAAAAAGTAGTGCACTACTTTTCAAATAGTAGCTAAAAAGTAGCCACTACCTTTTCTGAAAAAAGTAGCTAAATTGTAGCTAGCTACAAATTTTGGGAAAGTAGCTACAAAGTAGCTAACTACAAATTTTTCAGTAGCTATCCCAACCCTGTCAGCATGTTCATATCTTTATGTCACCACTAGGGAAGCACAGGATTTTTTGTTAGAATTTGAATTTAATTCAGAATTTGCTAAGGAGTCTTTTGAATACTACTATTGGTAGAAGATTTTAAAAGATGGGCTCAGAATCTGAAAGTGTTCTGTATGTTGAGTCCAAGTAATAATTGTTAATAACATTTAATTAGTCAACCTAAGACAATCTAATCAGTCAATTGCCACGAGTAACAGTTTGAATTATACTGGAGACAAAGTACATTGAAAAATGTAACAGCTGACATCACAACATAACATAAAGAAACTGTTAAACTCAGCTGAATAAAAGTCAGTCAGCTATACAATTATTAGAGTTATGACACCTGACTTTTACTCAGCATTTGGGGAAATTCCAAATAATCTCTATCTAGTGAGTATATCTTTCTTGCTTTCAACCAAATAGGCAATACATTTACTTGACTGTAATACTTACTAGGCCTGAGCAATATCTACAATCGTGATTAGTGATTACTTTGACCTCCCAATACTGTGGCCAACTAAAGCTATGACCTACTTTCTAATAAATTTTTATTTTATGTGCTCTTTTACATAAACAGTTTTAATGAATCTTTAATAAAAATGAGATATTAAATATTGTAATGCTGAGTAACTCAATATCTTTTTCAAATCTTTTTCATCAATATCTTTTACATCAAAACTATATCAAAACTACTTTAATTTCAAAACTTGCCTGTCATTTCAACAGAAGTTACTGCGAACATGTGCATTCATGAGATCCTTCTGGTGCAGATTCATGGTGACATGCATGCTAATAGCATTCTCTGCTGGAGAAACTTCAGACTGCAAGTGATTTCCAAAGTCATGGCCTTTGAAAAAAGTCATGACTGTATTATATTTTCACAAGTCATGACTGTATTATATTTTCACAATTTTGATTTAACTCATCTAAAAGACTAGGACACTTAAACTGTATGGAATATACTGAAATTTCATCTTTGTTACCTTTTTTGATCCTGTTTCCTGGCTGTAAATCAGATTAACTTTTTCTACTTCTAAAGATTCCAGGGCTAGAACTAACTTAGCTGCTCTATGGCCAATCACTTTAGCATGGTTGTTTTACTGCAGCAAGTCAGAATGAAGCAAGTTAAAGTTCCAAAACAAGTCAGCATTTGTTTTAGTTTCATGCACTCATAGCTGTGGGGTAGGTAAGTCTAGCATCACAGCACGAAGCAAAGAAAACTAACACAGTTTAACAAACTTCTCTCTTTCTCTCAACTATTGGGGCACACGCCCGCACACTTCTTAAGGGAATGTGAACCCCAATTTCCCAACATATTTAGCAAGCTATTTAACAGTAAATGAGTCCTCTCTAGTCCTCTGTCAGTTTCCCAACATAGCAATTATTGCCTTTTAAGCATCATCATTGGGTTAGTTGTCAACCATTGAAGATATCCATCATTACATCACCCTATCGCCCAGGTCTACTATGCTCTCAGCAGCATAATATCTGAAAAACATTTATAAATAATGCTGATTATGCTTATTGGACCCACTGTGAAGAAAAAAAATACATCCCATTTTAAATGTAGACTTTTTATAATGCCACCAGTCTTCATGGTACATGGCTAGACATGCAGGTAATAATATTTTAAATGTTTTTAATTCTAAAACATTCAATCTACACTGTAGACTAGAAACCCACCTAGAAACACAACAAATTCAGACTCGCTACAACTCTGAGATGTGAAATATAATAGATGTGAAAAATAAGTGTGAAGATGGAAACAAGAATGGACCAATAAATCTCATACTAAAGTCCGTAATGCAAGTTTCTTAATGTCTGACTGAATTGTCAACTTTAGCTACCTCTCACTGCAAAACATGCACCAATACAACTGAACACTTTTATGTAGCCAGCTGAATTTTCGTGGACGTGATGCTGACACTATGGCCGCTTTTCCACTATCGAGCCAAACGGTTCTCAGGGCCGTACTGGGCCGTTCCGCACTGGTCCAGACTCGTAAGACCAGTTACGGCTTCTGTCTCCATCTGTTGTACCGCTAAATCAGAACCAGGAAATACTCAAGAAACCTACACAAACGAATGGCTAACTGCTAAAAGGCTAATACCAACATACACGCCACCCACCACAAACATGTTTGATTCCGTCTGTCACTACAACTCCAATCTCTCAGCATGCTCTCATCTTGTTTATCTTCTGAGCGGGTGTTATTTGAACATCTGTTACTGAAACCGACTGCACTGTGGTGGGTTTTACCTGTAGCTGGATAACTACATTAGCATTAGCGTCGCCCAGCAGGGTACAACTCGAAGCACCACAGAACAATTCTATTTTTAAATCTTTCTCCCACTTCAACACCAGTCATTTAAATTTGTGCTCTCAGATACAAGTCTTTATCCTCTAAAGTGGTGTTTTTGAGCATCAGTTCGCTAGAACCAAGCCTGCACTTCAGTAGGAGGCACCATGCACTCGAGTTAGCTTAAAGCTCTAACAGAACACTCCAATTTTGGCTGTCGCTCCAATCAGTCAACTTTGCTTTCGCTATTACAAGTTTTTATCATCTATATTTGTGAGCAATTAGTTGAATCGAAGGTGCACTGTGGTGTTTGGATCTCTTTAGCTAAGTTAGCTAGGAGAGAAGAGCTGGCTACCATTAGCTTAGCTAGGAGGCTCCAGCTTCAGACACCAGAGGAGGGATTAATTTCAGCTTTCTGTCCCTCTAACATCAGCCACTTGACTTTGCTTCCTCAGACTGAGTCATTATCAGCTAAATTTGTGTCAGTAAAGCTTTTGTTAGTCAGAATCGAATCTGTTCCATCATGGAAGCATGCTAGCTAAGGTAATGCTAACCAGCTACTCTCTTCTAGCTGTTTAGGCAGCGCATTTAACATGTAGAAATTGTTTTTAGATTGAAGCTTTGATGTTTATTGAATGATGGATTTTAAATTGTACACTGCTTTTATTTATTTGAGCAAGCTGAATTTATTTGAATGCTTTTGGGTTTGAAATAGCGCAGCGGGATGCCGTGGCACAATACCAATATAAACATAGCACCAATCAGCGAACAGTATGCCACTGAATGGTTCTGTGGCCCTGAGTACGGTTAACTAACCGTACCACGAACTGTGTCCATGTGGAAATGCCACTGGAACAGTTACCCTCCGTGCTCAGAACCATTCGGCCCTGCAGTGGAAAAGAGGCCAATGATTCCTGAAGAAGCCCAGAAATTAGACTGGAGTAGTCTACATCTAATTTTGTATGTACAATATGTATTAGACTACAGAACAATTACAAATGTCATATAGGATTTCAAGAGCATATTTTCTGGCTTTACCGTCCCATATTTCACAATAGCTATTAGGAGTATTTTACTTAATTACCAGGCTTTCCAAAATTCTCAGAACTGGTGCTTTTGGGGTTAGCCCCCTGCAAAAAAGCACTGTTAACATTATGATAAAGATGAAACACTTTCACATTACTACTATGCACAGATAGAAAACTCTGCATATTTACAGTTGATAGAAATATTCGTTTTTGGTTAGTTATGAACCAACCTCCAACTTAAAAAAATGCTTTTGAGAAAATAGGCCTACTTCAATTTAATTGATTATGCAGGAAATGGCTGCTTGACATTTCTATCATAACACTTTACCT